AAATAATGAATATTATGGGTGCCATGATAAGTACTATTTACAACACTAGCGGCCGTGTGGCTGAACGTCTTGATGAGAACATTCGTATTCTTCGACAATTTAAAATAAATGAATGATATTTGGCGAGAAAATTGAACTTAAAGTTTTATGACAAGTATTTCCTTAAAAAAAATATTATTATAAAAATTAAAGATCTTAGTAGAGAATATAATCTTCGAAGTAATGATACTGATCTAGTACTTCCAAAACCTAAAACAAACTATCTTAAACGAAGTTTTAAGTATAGTGGTGCAATGCCGTGGAATAGTTTTCCTTCTGAGGCGAAAAAGGCATCTTCGCTTTACCAATTTAAACGCAGTATGTCCACTATACCAGAGACTGAGGATGTGAGTTAAGATAATTTGTAAGTATAACACGCCCCATCTGAAAATCAACACATTGTATTTTACAACTATGTTGTGTATGGCCAGCGTGACTAAATAAATCTGTAAGTATGTAAGTAAGTCTTTATGGGTAACTTTGCCAACTTTTATTATGACAATTAGTATATTTGTTCAAAAGCTAGTGCATTAGCTTTATGTAATTCTTTCTGTAATTGGACCAATTTTGTAACTCTTCAAAAACTGAGGAGAAACATGGGGGGGAAGGGGGCATGACCTCGTAAAGCCCCCACCTATGACATAAAATAAACCAAATCTGTGGTTTTCATATTATCATCACAGAATAGGAAGTTATACCAGAAGCGTAACTCTAGTCGTTTCCCTTATTGTTTGACGTCCACGAAAATTTTAACTCGCTCACGTCAGGCCACGCCATCCTGGCTAGTACAGCCGGAAGTTTTATCAGGATTTGGTAGGTACAAAGTGCCGGTTGTACTAGCCAGGATGGCGTGATTGATGACGAATCGCTTGTAAAAACGCGGACAAATATTTGCTCGAGTTACGCTTCTGGTATAACTTCCTATTCTGTGTTATCATAAAACGTATCGGAGACCCTAAAAATAGAACAATATTTAGGGACCATGACCCCGGACCCCTCTGTCTATTCGACGATTGGACCCACACCCCCTTACCTGTTTCTTTGATCCCCAGCCAGTAACGACGCCATATTGTGTAGGCCAGATCAGAGAGCTGTCCGGGTCCTCGTCATAACATACGGTATGCGCATAACTTGTTGGTTTGATAGGATATTGAAGTTTAACCATCGCTATGTCATCACGTCTATGTTTGCCAGATTTCGAAGGGCGAATTAGTTTCACCGCTTCGTAAGGTTGCTCGGTGCCCGCTTCGTCAAAACGATTGTGCTCGCCTGATATAAACATTACTCATTAGCTAGAAATTACGTTTCTTAGAGTGAATAATACAAGAACCATATATATCTGTGACAGTTGTCTGATTATTGGAGGGTTTTTCGAAGATGGCTTAGGTCTAAACTCTCAAGATGTATATAATTTTCGCTCGAAATTCCCATCTTCAAAAAAAGTTTTCAACATCAGTTCTATGTATGTATAGGTTATTTTGAGGCAACGAGGGGATATGTGAATAAACACATACCCCCGAGATGCCTCAAAATAACGTACTTATTTTTCACATTGCGTGGTCGCGTCAATGAGTCAGAATAGAAATATATATTTCTTAATGAATCAGAATAGAAATATTTCATATTGCTTTCGTTATGTTGTTTTTTCTCATTTTTTGTGCTGCAAAGACATTGCAGGTGAATATTAGAGGGGATTGATGTCCCTGACATCACCTATGTATTTACCAGAACTCGGCAACTGGACTCGGTTAGAGCGCTGCACCGGAATCGCACGGCTGTAGTTTCGATTCAGAGGGCTGATAGTTGCATGAGAATTGATGAGAGTTCATTGGATATTACTGGTCAAACCAGTGGCGTAACGCTCATTGCAAAGTTTGATTGCGAATTGTTGTAAAATGAGGAAAATATAGCCTTGCGAAGTCCGCAAATTTTGTATATATTTGCAATACGCGCTGGAAAAATAACCGGCATTTTTGAGCCGAAAGTGTTTTTTTTTTTACCGCGCATAATACAAATATATACAAAATTTGCGAACTTCACAGGGCTATATTTTCTTCATTTTACAACATTTAGCAACCAATCTTTGTAGTTTTACTCATTCTAAGACGCTCTTTCTAGCTGTGGTGTTGGATTTCGTTCTTCTTGCCTTGATCAAAATTTAGACTATAGCTAGAATCACCCATTTTCGTTCGAACTTCTATCCACCAAAAATCAGTAACAATGACTAACAATAACTCACCCAAGACGACTCTAATAATATGTCCTGTCAGATTTGTAAACATCTTCCTGTCAAAGCAACTGGCGGCAGTTAAAACCCAGTTGTCTGCGACCAAAGCTCCGCCACATTTGAAAGCTGCATCCACATAAATAACCGCTTGCCATGGCCAGGCGTCGTCCTTTGATAGTTTACGATTTGGAGTCTTTAAATTATCACGTAAACTTGTGTCGCCTGCCTGCCCGCATTCCCATTTATCTGGGAAATAGAAAATCGGTGTTGATTAACCTCAGTCTTCGCTATGTTGACGTTACTGTGCCTCTTTGTGCTGATACTGTTACTGTAGTTGTTTTTACAAGGTTACTGTTATTGTTGCTCTTCATGTTGTTGCTGCTGTTGTTGTTTTTGCTGCTGCTGCTGTTGTTGTTGCTACTGCTGCTGTTATTGCTGTTTTGTTGTTGCTGTCGTTCAGTCGTTGTTGTTGTTCTTACTGTTGTTGTTGCTGCTGCTACTGCTAGTGTTGTCGCTGTTGTCGTTCTTGTTGCTGCTGTTGTTGTTGTTGTTGCT